GAAATACAACAACTTCGCGCTGTGGATCGCCGGATCGGCTTTCACCGTGGACGAAGCGGAGTCCAGCTCGGGGTCGTCACATGTGGTTGCCGCAAGCCCTCCAGACGCTCCTTCATCAAATCCGCCGTTCTCAAGCCCGCCCGCCTCTGCTCACTCAGGCCAGCCGCCGCTCACTCAAGGCCACGGTGTGTTTTGTTGTGAAAGCGAAACTACTTTGTTTGGTCTTCCATCCATTTTAAATCCACTTATGGTTATTTCAGGAAACAGTCATGATGGCACATTTAACACTAAATTTTCCATTATATGTAAATTCAAGAAGGGCTCAGTGTACACCATTTAATCAATCAGAAAATGTTTGTTTTTAGGATGAAACCCACACAGTATTTTATGCATGCGGTCCCATAACTTCATCTCTGTTCTTCATTATCCCACAAAGCCAAACTAAACCCCATAAGACACATGCCTTTATTCAGTCTATTTTAAACCATTCTCTTCCTGTAACTCTGCTGTTGGCTGTCTATGATATCTTGCTATGAAACAAAGCTCTTGGCTAATCAGTTGAGTTATGATTCTGAGGCACATCTTCCTGACAAAACGTCTGCTCCTTATTTTCGTCCCAGAGATTTTCCCATAACAGCTCTGGCTGGAGCAGTCGGTTGGGAAAGTGCTGACAGCAGTGAAGAGGGCTGCTGCTAATGAAATCTAGGCCATTGCCTCATAGACTGAGAGCTGGAGCAGATCCAGAGACCTGTGAGTCATGAGAGGAGGAAGGTGCGGCACAAACTACACATCTGCCTCCAGCACAGAATGTCATGACACCAACAAAACCCTCCAAAAAGAGTATATATGAGCATGAGGAACTTCTTAAAAGAAATCTTAAAGGAGCAGTATGTAATATTGATGGCTACTGGCTGAAACGGACTGCTGTCCAAATTGAAAATATCGGAGAGAGTCGTTTTTTCCCCGTCTCCTCCGCCTCAGACTCGATGCTCATGTGGGTTGCCAAATTGAGGACACAAAAGGAACGAGCACAATTGACAATGTGAGGTGACGAGCCTTATGCTGCAAGTAGATTTATCTGTGTTTTAATATTCATCTGGTCATTTTTTGATGGATGCTGCGATCTCTGACGCAGTTCGTTTGCTTGCTTACATGGCTGTATTATGCTGTGTTTTCCACTAACTGGCAATCCGAGGTTTCTTTGACAGTGGCCTTCAGCTCATCTGCATTTTTTGGTCTCTTGTTTCTCATTTTCCTCTTGACAATACCCCATAGATTCTCTATGGGGTTCAGGTCTGGTGAGTTTGCTGGCCAGTCAAGCACACCAACACCATGGTCATTTAACCAACTTTTGGTGCTTACGACATTCTAATTTATTGAGATGCACCTGTATATGAACTTAGCATGTTTCCTGAATAACTGCAAACATTTAGTTGCAAACATATTTAGGTAGTTTTATGTTTTAGTACAGTCATGTACATACAGCACCCTTAAGAGTCTCCAAACAGAGTAATACAGATAAAACTAAAAACAAACTTTACTTGAAATAAATAAAACTATAGAAAACAACAGAAAAGTAAACATTTAATTTCAGCTAGTTGCCAACATTTCTTTTTTTTTTTTAACTAGTTTAAATTAAAATAACTAAGAATAAACTGACTAAAACTAATAAATAAATCCTAAAAATAAAATACAAAATTACTAAATCTCAATTACTAAAAATAAATTGAAAACTGAAAATATAAAAAATAAATTAAATCAAAATATTAATAAAAACTATAATATATCACTGCTAAAATAACAGTGATACATAAAAAACCAAACTGAAGAAACTGAACCTACTTTAAATTAGAAACATTTCTATAGCAAGGGATATGAATAGGAATTAGAAATGAAGAAATAGGGAGAAAATAATAGTTTTAATCATAATCTGATCACAATCTAATCTGAATCATAAATTCAATGTTTGTACATTTATTTACACTTTTTATCAGTTTTAATTAATATTGGAAGAAAATAATATAGAAGCCAGTTATAACATACTTTTTTTCTTACACACTGAATGCATGTAAGTGTACTGTCCTTTCACATGCAAATTTTTATTTTCAAAATAGTTTTTAAATATATTTTTTCAAATATAAAAAATTATTTCATAAATATAATTTCGTTTTTTGGGTCATACCACATGGCATTTTAAAACATGAACTAACCTTGCCTTGTCATAAAGAGGTCAAACTCTAAATAAATATTGATATATATTTTTTTATTAGACTTTTAATCGTTTTGATTGATATTGGAAGCACTTTCTTTTTTCTTTTTTTTTTTAGGATAAAAGAATTGTTAGTTGTTCCTGGTCTTCCATTAAAACACAATGGTCTTAAAACAGGCTTAATTTTCTTTATGCAAAGTACAATTACTTCTTTTGTTTTTCGAGAGGCACACTTTAACCGGTCATGTTTATGATAGGTATCATGGGACTCACCCAAACGAAACGAAACCATTGTTTGGTGTCTGGATAACCTCATCAGTGATGTGGGACCACATTAATAAAAGAACCAGCATCAAAGAACAAGAGGCTAAACAACTGAGAAGCGGGAAACCACATCAGACCTCTATCTGTCAACGGTCATCATATTCCTACAGAGTGGACGGGGATTTGTTTATCCAGCTGGATTCAGTGCAGGAATCACACCCACCTTCCTCAAAGATTTCGAGAATGAAAACGCAACTAACTTTCTACCAGGACGTAATGAAAGATCTCGAGATGAGTCATCAGTTGGCTCGACGCCAGTTTCAGAGGATCATGGGAAATGAGGGTGAGGTGAGACCAGGAGAAGTTCCTGACTGGGACTGAGCAGTAGCAGTGGATTTGAGGCTCGATGTGTGTGACGCTCGGGTCGGCCCCTCTGTTGTGGCACTCTTCCTGCAATTGTTGGGAAACAATCTGGGATGAAAGAGAGGGGGAGGGGAGTTCCCAATGAGCTAAACCTCCGATTTTTAGAAAACCAACAACACCACGTAATGAGATTACATGGAGGGAATTTTGCAGGCGAATCCTTGCCAACTATAAGAAAAAAAAAAGAGATCTGCACGTTCTCCAAACTCCAAGTTGAACTCTAAAAACCACTGATCATTCAGAAGCCACCACAACAGCAACGAAACTACAGCCTCTTTCACACAGACAGAGATTCCGGAAAACACACTGATTTGTCGTTTGATTTTGGTTCATTCACATTGCCAGTGATTTTCCGGAATCTGTGCGTGCGTTCACACCATAGACTGTATAAAAACATGGACGTAGTGTCCGTGACGTCACCCGTAGGTTTCTGAAGAGCGGCTTTGAAGCTCAAAGTGGGCGGAGCGGGCCTGCTCTCGACAGACGGCACACTTGGGAAACACTGGTCTAAGTCTTCTAAACTTTGTAACATATTTGCCATAGTAAACGTCATATGGACTATTTCTTATTACAGGTTTATGGTGCCGTTTTTTGTTTTTTTGACATTGACAGCTCCAGTCCCCATCCACTTTCATTGTATGGGGGGGAGGGGTGAACTGTCCCTTTAAATGTCTTGCTCAATAAAAGGCCCAATCCTGGTGTCGGGACACTTTTTCATCAGACTTTTTGTAGTTTGAACCTACAATCTTTCAGTCAGCAGCCCACATTCCTATCCAATAACAGGACCCAACACAACCAGATACAACAGAAATTAAAACGTAAAGCCCAAAATCTTCATATTTGCCAAATGGCAATAAACCAGTAAAACAAACGAACTGCTGAAATTATTTACATGGAATAAAACAAAATAGCACATTTAAACATGCATGCATACATATATATTTTTAAGTGTACGTTTATGTTGTACTTTCCCATTTACTCCAAAACAAGCGCATACATACTAAACGAGTTTCTGACCTGAATCTGGGGGAATCCTTGAGACATTCCTCGAAATCCACAGCAATCTTCATGTTGACTTGATCAGGTTTATAAACACAGATTAAAGAGCTAGCAGGCTAGCATTAGCTCCTGTGAAAACAGAAAGAGCGCAAACTTCTGCTCAAATCACTCCAGAATCCCGGATGAACTCCACACATGAGAGATGCGCTGTCAAATGGGTTTTAGAAGGTGTAACAGTCAGTTCCTCCAGCATTAGCGAGCGGACTGACCTGATGACTGAGTGAGATGAGCAGCACGGGCAGGCTGCGTCTCCAAACCCAGTGCGCTCACTATCCACGCTGCACTTTTGCCCACGAGCTTCGTCCTGAAGAACAGAAATGAAATAATCCGAGTGGAATGAAAATGTTCATGGCTATGTTGTAAAATGGGCGGGGCTTACTTTTAGCCAGTCAGTTAACTTGGCCTGTCAATCATTTTGAGCGTTAACGTTTCCTGGCATCGGGTTGGCTGACGTGTCTCTGTAAGGCGGGGCTTTGTAGAAAGGGGGTGTGGTTACACGGCAGAAGTCGTTTACTGCATCTTATTATTATTATTAATTATTATTAATTATTATTATTATTATCCAGGTTTTTACTCGACGCCGTGCAATTCAATGCAAATTAAAGTTTCTCGGTGTCATTTTTCACAGTTTAGCGTCCAGCGGATTCCGATGTTACTTTTCTCAGCGCTGGTCAGGTTGGACCAATCACAGACGTTTGCGATTAGTGTGTACATTTTTCTTTTTTTAGAGATTGTGGGCGGATCTCCATTTTAGGCATCACTCATTGAACATAGCATATTTGAATAATTGTACTTTTTAGTGTGCAGATGTGTTCAGTAAGATAAAAAATAGTCGAGATTTGAATGCGGCTCAATGG